AAGAGTGTCCTACGTGGACAATGTGGGATCCATCTGATTACCGTAATCATCGGAACATGTTAACCGGCGAGTTCGTTTAACCGTAGTGAAGGTGGGTGTACCAATAAATTCTATAAATAAATAAATAAAAAAGAACAAAAATAAAATTTTAAATCATTATTTTTTTTTACTTTTGAAAGGAAAAAGAAAAAAAAAACGAGATCTCGAGCCACAAGAACCTCATGCTATTTTGTTTCCATATTAAACCAATAGTGAATTAAAAAATTTATTTCACCAAAAATATTTTATAAATTTTATATTATTTCTTTGAGATATCATACAGACTATTATTTTTTAACAACAAATAATTACTATACATATATTATATATATCAAATTCACAAAACATATACCTATATACCAATTTTATATAGTTTTTTAGCCTTTTATTTATAGGATGAATCAAAAGAGCCGGAGGATTACATCAAAAAAAAAGAGCCGGAGGAGCGTGAGCTACACGCGGCTATGTAGCGAGTGTATGATAGACTTCTGCAGCCCTCCAACCTTCCCATGTGCTCTCCACAACCCTAATATCCGAATATTTTATTTTTTAATGATATAAATATTACGTGGGCCAATAGTATCCTGACGCGTACGCAACATTTACGTCTTAGTGGAGATCAGATCGGATACGCTAATCCTCATCCTATCAAACTGCACTTCGCCACGTGATCACCAAACACTCATTTCCTCCCATAGATTTTCTTTTTCAAATTTTCACGTCCTACAAATATTTTTGTAACAAATAAATTATGTGTTGTATTTTAATATAAATTAATTATGAAACCATTTACAAAACAATACTATAAACATAACTTTTGAGTTATTAAGACATACATCCATACAAAAAAAAATCAAATATTTGTTTAATATGCTGTTATTTTTACATGCAATAAAAAAATTGCAAGAAGCACTAATTACATGCTATCCTATATTCAGAAAATTGAGATATCTTGTCGCTTGCCCTGAATTTTCAAATGCGTACATTCTGTCCGTTCAATGAATAGTCATTCGTTCTCTGAAGGTGCTATTGATTAGATTAATTAGCTGTTAAGTGCTGTAATAATATTGTTTTAAGTTCTCCATGAGGTTTCTCGTGCTTTGACGTTTCACGAGTTATAACTTGTATTCGAGACAATTAACAATTACCTTAAAACAAAATACATAGTACAAGTTTGAATGACTGTACATGTTTGTGCATATTATGAGTATAAATATACGCGGATTATATAATATGTATAGAATGATTGGGCATGGTATCAAGGCAAATGAATAAAGGATATATACTTGATGTTCAATTAGTTTTTGATTCAGAGTTTTTTCATTTTAAAAATATATTTTATTCAGATTGTATGGTTAGATTTGAATTCGATTTTCAGATTACAATTTTTTTATTTTTTTCCATTTTAAAATTAGTTATATTTGAATTTCGTAATTTTAAATAACAATATCTAAAAAGGCCATCCGTAACAATGTCTCTTTTGAATTAATCGGACCGGTCCTCTCATTCCCAAATTATTTAGGCTTCATTGTTGGAAATAAATGTAACCCTTTTAGCAAAAATATTGGGGCGATTTCCAATTATAATATCTTACCAAATTTGCATAAATTTATAACTTAGCATGGAAGAAGGTTGGTCTAAGCTCGTTGTAACATCATGATCTTAAGATATCATTATAATTTTGTCACACGGGATTTTCCACGTGTATATATACTTATCATATATGAAAAAAAGGGACACCCAAATTTGCATGAGCAGTTGCTATAAAGCGAACCTAACATTTTCAACATGTTCACACGGCCTAACCATTTTACATTCTTTGAAAAAGCTACGAATTTATTATTACGATTCTTTGAGTATGAGATATATATATGTACTGTATTTGATTTGAAACCAAAAAAAAAGTATTTGACTTCATATTTTGATACCATCAATTAGGATTATTGCATTCAACAGATTTTTATTTACTCTTATATAGTGATCAATTTTAACTCTTACAAACCATTAATGCATTATTCAAACTTTATATGTGTGTGTGTATCATAAAAAATTATTTAAGTCACGTCCATGTATTTTGGACCTAAATAATCGATTAAAATATAATTTTTGCTTTATTTTTTTTTATGATGGTTTATCCAAAGTAGGGTTCGAACTTGGATGGGAGAGCACCTTATGTTTTCACGTTATCGTTTTGTCACTCACACTTGGGTAAAAAAAAAATAGGATGACGAAAACGCCATCTCAGTAGAATAATATATAATTTTGGTAATTAGCTTAATAGGATAAAACTATTTCATCTAATTCACTATAAACTTAAGTGGATTATTTATTTATTTATTTTGGGATTATACAAGATAAAACCATTGGATTTTTTTTTGGGGGGGTTGCATGATGTGTGTGGGGTGAGAGAGAAGATAAGCGTAAGCAAGATCATGTGAGTAGGAGAAAACTTTGAGCCAAAGCCAAAAAAATGGCTAAGTCCCCCACGTCCCCAACTTCAACTCAACACCCATCCTTGTCTTCAATCCATTTCATATTTCACTATAATTTTATATCTATCATGACATTGAAATCCCTTGGATATATGTACAATATTATAATCAACACATTTTATTATCTGTCTTCCTCCAAGTTGTAACCACCTAAAAAAATCAATTTAATAGTTTTCAACGTCATCAAACAAATATAACATTTCAGATAATAAAAAAAATGATTTAGAGATCGTCTCTAAGTATAATATTGTTTTTTTTTGTTAAACAATATTGATATTGTTAACAATTACAAAAAAAAGGATATTATTTTTACTACACTAAATCTATTATTCATAAATTATTACAAAAAAAAAAGATGAAGGAGGAGTGCTTTTGTGTAAAAGTTTAATGTCATCATTTTTTACCGATACATTAGAGTGATTAGTGAATATATTTGTTGGTTCGCGTTTTGGAAGACCAAGAAAGACCATTCATGATTAGTCTGTTGGGCTGCAAAACCCAATCCAAATTCCGAACAAGCTGATTTTTTTTTTGTTGGAAATTTGTTTTTTATTTTACATTTTATAAATATTATATATGTAATAAATAATAATACATATTGGGAATAAATGGAAAGAGACATTGGAGGACAGCATTTACATTGCTAGCTTTTGAAGACGGGTTTTGACTAAACGGACGCAGAGGGAGACAAACATGTCAGATTTCCTCTATAATTGTCTGAAAATGATTTTTGCTTCTCTCTCTCTTTTTATTCTTTATTTTATTTTTATAATATTCTTATTATAATCTCAACAGTGAATTATCCATGGATGATTCTTTTTTATATCCTAAGAGGTTGAAGATGGACAGTTAACCATTGATGGATTTAGATTTGATAGAAAATGGCGAGCTGAGTGTGTGTGTATACATACATACATACATATATATATATATATATAGAGAATATTTAAATAGCTTTTCATAGTCATGCATTTGGATATGAGTTGATAGAATATAAATATAATAACATACAATGATCTCCTTAGCTGCAGATATATATAAGCATCCATGGAGCGGATTACATGATGACTAGCATATATATATAGTCTGATTAGACATTACTTTATTTTCTCTAAAAAGTCCGCAAATGTGTTATTGGACCAAATTTTATTAGGCGATTTATTGTGATTAGAAAGCAAAATAATTCTGGTACCCAATAATATAATAATAATAAAAATAATATATTATTTTATTTACAATAAGGCAGTCCGGTAATATTTTGATTAAAAATATATCGCCTTTGTAATTGTCAATATATATATTTATAAATATTCAAAGTGTGTATGGACGATTTAATTATTGAAATTAATCAAAGAATTTTCGTACGTGATCGGGAATCATTAATTTGTTGTTTGTAAAGGGGATTAAGCAAAATCATTAATTTCCTTTCAATTTGTTTCATCCTTTACGCAAATCTCTCCAAGAAGAAAAGAATATTAAGTGTGTAAAAGAAAGAAAAGCGTTGGCCCCAGAATAAAAAAAAATGGTGTCAAGTTATATTTCTTTTTGCCAAATTATGAACTACTTTATAGATATGATAATCTAAAACCTTTAAATAATTATATATACGCATATTTAGTGATACTGAATATCGGAAAGAAATGAATATATTTTTTTATAATATTAGAATTAAAACCTGATTAATTGGATTTAATTCTTAAAATTAAATTAATTATATTCAGACCAAATAAAATAAAATTAATTGAATCAGAATTGCAATCCATGTAAAAATCAAGTGAATATATTTTCATAAAATAAAAAATTAGAATTGAAAAAATGGCAGAACCAATGTTCAATCTTAATTGGAGGTGAATATCCTGTTGTCAAAGTAAAGCTGAAAGATCAGGCTCACTGAGTGCGGAAATGCTCGTGGACCGGAGGAGTCTGAATAGCTTCATTGGTCAGAGAGATGATGGTGGGAGATTGGATTCGAATATATGTACGGTAAAATCTCCATATCTTAATATATATTTGAAAAATAATTATATATTTTTGTCACGCATATGCATATGTATATGTATACACACACAAAACATATGGATATTAAAGAAATGTTATGCTGTTAGATATGCTGGGTATCTTTAACGAAATAAAAAGCCAACTACCGCCCCAACTACCATAACGACCATTCTTTAATATCCGAAGCAAAGTTACTCGAAAAAAGATCCTTCCATTTTTTTTTTTTTTTTTGGTTAACGATGAGAACTCAGCCAGAGTTCTTCGGACGCGGTGATAAACCACTCTAAAAATGACAGATTCGTTGAAAAATAGAATCGAACTCTTGAAAAATCATGAACTATTTTGTCAATATACCATATCTGGAAGGACAAGTTCATTCAATTGCTATTATGTTCTTCTCTTCTACGTAAGATTTTGCATATATGCACTGAACAAACTCTCTCTTTCTTTTGTGGGTTCATTAAAATAGAGGCAAAGACAGAGCTTAGCACGTGGAATTTCCAGTTTATTATGACCCTCTGTCAGATCATATGTACATATAGTGGACTGTGTGTTGATATTCTCTATGTGGATTTGGTGCCACATTGGTCGCAATTATGAGAATCCAGATATCTTTTTTGTTAAACCTCTAAACCTGGTTCACATATTGAGAGAGAGAGAAGAGAGAGGGAGAGAGGCCGCAATTAGGGGTGGTCATTTCAGTTATTAAACAAATAATCAAACCGAATAAAACATAACTGTACCCGAACCGAATCCGACATCAAAACCGAACGGTTATGATTTCTTTAAATCCGAAAAAACTGAAACCGAACCGAATAAAAAAATAACCGAAAAAACCGACGATTTTCTTTGAAAAAATGAGTTTTTTTTATCGAAACTGAACCGAACCGAATCGATAAAAAACGAATGATTATAGTTTTTCTATAACCGAATATAACCGAACCAAATTCGAACCGAAACTCGAAATGGCTATCCCTAGCCGCAAGGCAGGGGAAGAGAGTAAATGAGGGTTGTGTAAATGCAAAAATCCTCAGACATCGAGAAAAGTGGTTAGCGGCTTCGAAACATACCATACCACATGTCCCCTTGTGCTATCCCCTCTCTCTCTCCTCTGCTCTCCACGTAAATTTCACCTTTTTGTTTTACATTCTTTCCGTATTTAATAATATGATATTTTTATTATTAAATAGACGCCATTTTTTTAAAATTTATAATTTTATTCCTCATAAAAAATATTCAACTTCAATAATATTATAATTTTAATAAGGGTATATATGAGTTTTTTATATTTCTTTAAAAATAATGGAAAAATCTAAAACGTCATTTTTTAGAAATTCGATTCTATTTAAATACATATACTAGGGAATATATACATATAAACAAATTGATCGGAACATTATATTTATACGATAGAATATATAAACACTAAAAATGCTATATTGTTTTACAATGGCTCGAGATCTAACTTTGTGGATGAACAAATAAGCGCTACGCATGTTGTTGCTCTTCCTATTTAAATTCAAATGCTATGCAACTCTACGCTAGCTTTAGTTGCATTTTTTACACTTTCTTTTTTTGGTAAAAGGACTTTTTGATACTTAAAGGATTGTAGTAAAATATTAAATATTATATATATGGCTCAACTAAAAAATAAATATTTTGAAGCGTAATACTGCATATTTTATGTATGATTTACTACTAAAATATGAAATTTATTGACATAAACTAATTAACACAGTTCTTTAACTGGTTAGGAAAGCTTTGTACGGACTTAGTAAAAACCCACAAGTACTAATTGTAATAAGATTCCGACATGAATCATCAGCAGACGACTCTTCAAATGGTTCAGACAAGGATCTGCAGAATCGTAAAAGCACCACTTTGGATCCGGAGTTCTTGGAACAGAAGACTAATTAACGTGCCCTGGGGAACACTTCGGTGGTGAATTCCACGCTCAGTTCCACGGCGCTCTTGGCCTTCGTGTCTCCTCTTCTCGACCTTTCAGATTCATATAAACAAATTGATCGGAACATTATATTTATACGATAGAATATATAAACACTAAAAATGCTATATTGTTTTACAATGGCTCGAGATCTAACTTTGTGGATGAACAAATAAGCGCTACGCATGTTGTTGCTCTTCCTATTTAAATTCAAATGCTATGCAACTCTACGCTAGCTTTAGTTGCATTTTTTACACTTTCTTTTTTTGGTAAAAGGACTTTTTGATACTTAAAGGATTGTAGTAAAATATTAAATATTATATATATGGCTCAACTAAAAAATAAATATTTTGAAGCGTAATACTGCATATTTTATGTATGATTTACTACTAAAATATGAAATTTATTGACATAAACTAATTAACACAGTTCTTTAACTGGTTAGGAAAGCTTTGTACGGACTTAGTAAAAACCCACAAGTACTAATTGTAATAAGATTCCGACATGAATCATCAGCAGACGACTCTTCAAATGGTTCAGACAAGGATCTGCAGAATCGTAAAAGCACCACTTTGGATCCGGAGTTCTTGGAACAGAAGACTAATTAACGTGCCCTGGGGAACACTTCGGTGGTGAATTCCACGCTCAGTTCCACGGAGCTCTTGGCCTTCGTGTCTCCTCTTCTCGACCTTTCAGATTTCAGATACTCTTTCAGTTCTTGAACGACACGAGACATGGTCGGTCTTTCCCTGGAAGATGGATTCAGGCATGACATTGCTAATTCAACAGCTTTCCAGACAGATCCAGTTTCGTAATCCCCACGGAGATTCGGGTCCATTATGTTTCCGATATCTCCTCTCGTCAATCTTGACGCGACCCAGTCTTTGATATGAGTCTTTTCACGTGCTTGCTCGATCACGGGTCGATTTGTCATGACCTCCAATAACACGACCCCGAAACCGTAGACATCGCTCTTCTCTGTTAACCGGTTTGTACCGAAATATCTGCAAAACAATATATAAGATACAGATCATAAACGCTGAAGATTCTAATAGCGTAAATGCAAAGTGATCATAATGCTTACCCGGGATCAAGGTATCCGGGAGTGCCGGCAACTACAGTCGAGACATGAGTTTTGGTTCCGACAGGGAAAGATCTAGAGAGGCCGAAATCCGAGAGTTTGGCATGGAACCGATCGTCGAGAAGTATGTTCGTGCTTTTGACATCTCTATGAACCATCGCCGGTGTGCATCCCACATGCAAGTACTCCAATCCTACGTAAGATAGTTTCGAGTTGATTCCATGGAGGAAAACAAAATCTTGGATAATGTAATTGTCAGAACATCGTTCTTGTTTAGTCGAATGTCGTAAAAGGAACGAAGAACAACTTGAGTTCGACTCTTTGGAATGAGTTTACAATCAAAACAAAGAGATGAAAAGGTAAAAAAACTCAGGGAATTAGGGCACAGACCTAGTGCGGCGTCCACAGCTATTCTTAGTCTGGTTTCCCAGCTCAAAACAAAGCCGCCACGTTTTCCTGTAGTATTAGCCATTGGTTTAGTGTCAGATCATTACAAAGATTCAAGTTTTATCAGAGCATAAACGGTGCTGCAATACCTGAGAGATGTTGTCTTAAGTCTCCTTTCGGCATGTACTCGTAGACGAGGGCCATGCGGTCTCCTTCATCGCAATATCCGACAAGGCTTACCAGATTTATGTGGTGAACTCTCAGAAGAAGTTCAACCTGACCAAACAACACGATTTTTAATCGATCGTTTTAAAGGTGGATTGTGTTTCTTTGCTTGCTTGGATCTGCAAAAAGATTAGGGTAAATAACAAAAAGTTACCTCTGCTTTGAATTCCTTAAGGCCTTGAGCTGATGAATGAGAAAGCATTTTGACAGCGACTTGTTCATTATGGTCTAAACAACCGTGAAAGACGACTCCAAACCCTCCTTTACCAAGAACTCTTTCAAAGTTATCTGTCATTTCTATAACCTCTGCATATGTAAATCTTCTCTTCTTCCTTACGATCGGTGAATGTGTAGGTCTATTGTTGGATCTTGCCTCTGTTACCAGTAACCCTGATGCCGGTTTTGGCTCTGTAAATCATAACTTATGTATCATAAACTTAGATTGCAATATCTATATCTATATATGTATATAGATATTGTTCTTGGTGATGAATCTCTTTCAAATACCTTCGACGACTGACGCCTTTTTCTTTCTGAATACGAAAACGAGAAACAACACAACTGCGATTGCAGCAACAGAAGTAACTGACGCAACGACCGGTACCACGAACTTCTTTTTGTCGTGTCCTTTGCATGAAGTGGAGTTACAAAGCTTTGGGTTTCCATCGAGACTATAAGATATGGAATGGTAAAATGCGTTAAATTGGTCGGTAACGAGCGGAATAAAATAAAATCGATAGAGAGAATCTTACATTAGCTTCAGTCCTTTCTTCTGTCTATCAAGAAGGGCATGAGGAACTGCGCCACTAAGATTGTTCCGACTTAAGTTCCTGTCGTGGCAAAAAAATCCGATATATGCAAGGTAATCTTCTAGAATGTTCCCTATATCTCTGATAATGAAAAACAGGGCAAAATGCTCTGTTTTGCTTTTTCAAACAACTTACACAACTGTCAGTGACTTGATGTTGGCAAGAAATTCCGGCACTTCTCCAGTCAAGCTGTTATTTGATAAGTCCCTGTTCCGTTTTAGGACACCACAAATGTCGGTCTTATTCGGCGTAATAGCTTTGCTTCTAGCCAATGACAGAGAGTACTTACAGCATCTGCAGCTCGGTCAGTTCTTTTATGCCTGACAAAATGGTCCCGTTCAATCCGCTCGATGACAAGTTTCTGGTTATACAATCGTAGAAAGATGTGACATGTAAAGAAATCCAAAGGCGTATGTTTCAACAAACGAGAAGCGTGTTTTGAAGAACGATCGTACAAGGAAATGATTCTTGGCGGCGTAGAAATATCCGAGAAGTTGCACTTTAGACCGTCCCACGAGAAGTTTTGAGGGACGCATGGATCTCCTTGCCAACTGATTTTACTCAACCGATACGTTTCTTTGATGTTCTTGACAGCAGCAACTGACAATAAAAGATTTAGACAGTGGAAGAAGTAACATAAAAGACTTAGCAGCAACTGATTCATGGACTCTGTAATGTCTAAAAAACATGAATCTGACAGTAAAAGACATACATACCATCATTTTGGTCGGTTTCGGGTTGCGGAAACTGGATTATCGTGTAGAGCTCAACAGCGTTAAGCAGAGGAGGAAGAGTCGACCTCGCTGTTCTGATCAGCTGCAAAGTGCATATGCCGATAAAGCACTTACTAGCATATGTGCTGTAAATAGTGTTTATCTGCAGCTTTTGGGGGCTCAAAACCGTGTTAGAGCTGTTTAAATTCAACGAAATAGCGAATTCCCTCGTATCGTTGGATCCCAAGTCTTGGATCTCAGAGAAGTGCAAGTAGAAGTAAACTTCGTCATCACGGGAATCGAGAAGCCAGAGCATGATTAACGGTGCAGAGGCATTTGTAGGAGTTGCAGCCGTTGCAAGGGCAGATTGCGGAGGGTTGTAGCCATTAGACGCGTTTACGTTGAGAGTGGTGTTTATCTGCCTCCACCCCGAGAGGAAGTACGAGGTCCAGATTCTGTCGTGGATATCGTTACGAAACCTGGCAGCATGCACAGACATGGAAGTTATTGCAGAAACAGAGCTTGTGCAAGAAAGTATCATTTTCTACCTTGTTGGTAAAGATCGGTTGAGTGGTAAGTTTTTTATTGTATGTACCTTATAGATTTATCTGGAGGGCGAAGATAGTTGCGGGCGAAGAGCTTAAGCGAACCAGATTTAGTAATGTAAGTATCGTTTCTCAAAGGCCGTAGCTCCAAGCTGGATATGAATGGCGTAGATGATCCTGTCTTAACCAGACAAATCTGCAAAGTGTTCGATCTCACGATGTGAATGATCTCCTCCCTCGCTCTTCTTTCTAAATCCACCGATGTCCAGTTGTTAGGGCCGAGGTATAGATCGAACTTCGGGTTACTATTGAGGCCATCGTAGTTTCCGTACCGGAACATCGCTCTGATAAGGTAATTCGTGTTCTTGGTGACACTCAAGTTGTAGCAGTTCCGTGTTCCGTCTGGAAAGTATCGAAGAGTTGTGTACGGTCTTAGGTAGTCGGACCGAAGATTTTCCTGGATCCTACCGGTTTTTCCGCTCTGGACAAAGTCAGAGTCCGATGAGAAGGTTAAACCGGTTGACGGTTCGATGTAAGGAGACTCGCTGGTGGGTAAGCCGCAATCCAAACTGATGAATCCTGCTGGGACAGAAGAAGATAAAGGCGGAGTTCACTTCCAAGAATCTCCAATCTCGAGTACAAGATCGCGTAAAAAACGAGGTTACCTTGTTGATCTTGAGCTCGAGCGGCATATATAACGGCGAGAAATGAAACCAGTGCCAGTAAGAATCCAGAAAGGCTCTGCATTTTTTTTGTACACAGAAGCAAGAAGATAACAAAAATGCCGAGCTCAGGAGCATTGAGCTATGGATTGTGAGCCTCTTATGAGGGTCAATCTCTGAAAACTTCAAACTTACGAAAGTAAAATGAAAACATTTGAAAGGAATACAAAAGAGGCAACTTGGCTTTAGTTTATTGCGAAGAAGAGGTCTACCGCTGAGGAAAAACAGAGCATGTCGATTGGTGAAGAAGAAGAAGAAGAAGTGTCTGGACGGATTCATACCAAATCTGTTACAAAGAGTCGTGAACAGATTTGGACAAAGCACTTGGTTTTAGCGTTTAAAATCCACTTGAATCTTTTCGAAATGAAACTTGATTCTTGTTCTACGTCAGAGGCAGATTCCACATGTTATGCACAAGTCAGTCAACCATCTGTTAGACTTTTTCGGATGCCATGCCGTGTAGCATCCCTGTCACGTATCTGAACAATCTTCCCCACGTCATGGCGCTTATACATACACATATATACGTATATGTGTATCGGCGACTTCTGGAAATAGATATTCAAGCAGACCACAGAGCGTTGACGGTCGCTTTCAGGGTTTGTATGCTCAATCTTCTGGACATCGAGGTTTTATTTTATTATTTTTTTCTTCTAAATTTTTAATCTTTGTGTTTGGGGGAAAAGATCTAAAATCACAAAATCCTTGTGTTCGTGTATTGGTGCAACACAAGAACGGCAACTAGAGAGTTGTCTAGATGGGTTGGATTAAAAATGTTAATCAAATCAAATCTAATTAATCGTTATTGAATATGGATAAGTTCATGGATTTATTTATTGGATGACTTTAATAAATTCAACCCATTAAAAATTATGGGTTTAATAAATCCGATCTATTTCACTTATTTACTATTAGGGAGTATTTATTTTATTTTATTAGAGTTCAAACAAATCAAGCCGAACCCCAAACCCACATATCAAACAAATTTTTATCAAAACCCAAATGAATCTTGTTTATTAAATAACAAACCTTAAAAAAAATCAAAATCATTTAAAAATGGTCCATAACAAAAACAAGTTTTTTTTTTTAAATTTATACAAACTCCTTAATTAAGTTACACACAAGATAACATGGTTTCTTGAAGAATCAAGAAAGCTTCCGCCAAAGCATTACAGCAAGCCAACAGAAATACTGAAGGAAGAGTTGCAAGATCAACCAGCGCACACGTTTTTCCCAATCAAACATCGACAGATTTATATATAAAAAAACCCACTTGAGCTAAGCATGTCCGGTTCCCGAGTTCCTGGAACAGAAGACTAACGTGGCTTGGGGAAAAGTTCAGTGGTAAACTCCGTGCTTAGTTCCACAGAACTCTTGGACTCCGTGCCTCTACTCCCTCCTGCTCTCGAGTTTTCAGATTTCAGACACTCTTTTAGTTCTTGAACGGCCGAAGACATGTTTGGTCTCCCTGCTGCTGATGGATTCACGCATGACATTGCGAGTTCAACTGCTTTCCAAACTGAGCCACTGTCGTAGTTCCCTTGCAGGTTCGGATCCGTTATATTTTTTATATCCCCTCTTGTAAGCATATGCCCTACCCATTCAGCTATGTGAGGCCTCTGATGGGTTTGATCGATCACAGGTCGGTTCGTGATGATTTCCAGCAGTACGATCCCGAAGCTGTATACATCACTCTTCTCGCTCAACCACTTCGTATGATAGTATCTGCAGAATCAGATACGGAAGATTGCTCATATTTTATCAATCGACGGCGAAGAAGGTAAGCCGATTTTTCAGCGTAGAATCGGATGATTACTCGGGATCTAAGTATCCAGGTGTGCCTGCGACAACGGTGGACAGATGAGATTCGCTTCCGACGGGGAAAGATTTGGAGAGGCCAAAATCCGCGAGCTTGGCCAGGAAATGCTCATCGAGTAGTATATTTGTACTTTTGACATCTCGATGAACCATTGGGGGCTTGCATCCTGTGTGCAAGTACTCCAATCCTATATATGAAATAGATTCATTTCTGGTTAACATGATCCATGACAAGAATTTGGCATCGATTTCGTGGATAGACGAGGCGAAAGGAAAAAAAAAAAAACTTGGGTACGATGACGGTAGAAGAGAATTCATTCTTGTTAGCACTTACCTAGAGCGGCGTCCACAGCTATCCGTAGTCTACTTGCCCAATTCAGAACGAAGCCGCCGAGTTTTCCTGTATTAACCAATTTACATGATGAATGTTAGATCCTTCTAAAGCTTCAAATGAATCAAGAAATCATCAGCTGAAGAATATTACAGCAGATTATCGTAATATCAGACAATCGAGTTTACCAGAGAGATACTGTTTCAAGTCTCCGTTGGGCATGTACTCATAGACGAGAGCCACGTGGTCTGCTTCATCGCAGTAACCGACAAGGCTTACCAGATTTACATGGTGAACTCTTAGAAGAAGTTCCACCTGTCGAAACATGGTAATTAAATCAACAGAAATCCGGTTTACCATTTCAAAGATGTTCCTGCCTTTGAACTAGTACAAGTACCTCTGCCTTGAATTGCTTTTGGCCTTGAGCTGATGACTCCGACAGCATCTTTACAGCTACCTGTTCTGTATCGTTTAAATAACCGTGGTAGACAACTCCGAACCCCCCTTTTCCAAGAACCCTTTGGAAGTTTTTTGTTATCTCCACAATCTCGGAATACGTAAATCTTCTCTTTTTCCTTAGAATTGATGGCTCGGTTAAATTAGTCGATCCATCCCTCGTTACTGCCACAGCCAGGATGCAGCCTTAATGCAGAATCTAGGCGGGTTATGACAGATAAATCTATGAGATCCTATGAAAGTACCTTGAATACTTGATGCCCTTTTCTTTCGGCACATGAAAATGAAAACCAACACGGCTGTGATAGCGGCCACAGATGCAACGGATGCGAGAATCGGAACTATGAACTTGTTTTTGTCGTTTTTCTTGCATGACGTTGTGTTACAGAGAAGATTTCCTTCAAGGCTACAAGACAAATGTTATATGAGAGATATGTAATGAAATGCAGAAACCGGTTAGATAACGAGTGAAACATTATTATTACTCGAGAAAATCTTACGTTAACTGAAGCTCTCCTTTATGAGATCTTTCAAGAAGGGCCTGAGGAACTCTACCACTGAGTTTGTTCCGACTTAAGTTTCTGTTAATGGCAGAAATATCACGGTTTGTACATAAGACATAACCGCCAGAACTTAATTAGAAGACAGTTATTGTTCGGTTTGGCTTCTCGAGCAACTTACATGACCGTCAGTGAGTCCATTTCGGCAAGAAATTCAGGCACTTCTCCGGCCAAGTTGTTGTTTGACAGGTCACTAGTGTTTGCACAAACAGGAAATTAATGTCATCCAAAAATGTCGGTTGATATTATAACTTCTGCTTCTTAAGTCAAGGCTGGAGATATACTTACAGTACTTGTAGCTGAGTCAGGCCCTGTATGCTCGATGCAACAGTCCCGGTTAATCCACTCGATGACAAGTTTCTGGTTATTTGATCAACGACAACATTTCCCAGCATAAGATATAAGGAAAACATCATATCCAATGCAAACGCGTGATCTTACAAGGAAACGATTCTTGGCGGTGTGGACATATCGGTGGAGTTGCACTTGAGACCGCTCCACAAAAAGTTCTGAGGGACGCATGGATCTCCTTGCCAATCGATTCGACTCAATCCATAACTTGTTCTGATGTTCTTGATAGCAGAAACTGTTGGAATGACTCGTTTCGAGTTATTACAGGATCATGAAAAAATATTGAATCATGAACACTAACTTACCGTCACTCTGATTTGTTCCTGACTGTGGAAACTGGATTATAGTGTAAACCTCGATGGCGTTAACAAGAGGAGGAAGAGTCGATTGCTGAGTTCTTGTCATGTACAAATCACATTTTGCTCCATCGCATTTATATGCTGATCCGCTGAGTAAAGTGAGCAATGATAACCTTGGAGGACGCATAGATGGTTGATATACATTTCCATTGAGGAATATATCGAATTCTCTGGTGTCGTTGGACCGTATGTTTTGGACCTCGGCAAAGTAAAGGTACATGTAAAACTGGTCTTCGGAGCTATCCAAAGACCAAGTAAGGCGCCACGGTGCGGTGGCATTTTGGGGTGTGATTGCTGACTGAAGCGCGGTTTCTGGTACATAGTAGCCACTGTCGGAATTGTTTACATAGAGAGTGGTGCATTGATCTGCGTATAGGCGGGGCGGAAGTATTGTGTCCAAGTACGATCATAGATATCATTAGGAAACCTGCCAGAATCTTTGTATCAGCAACCACCAAGTTAATGAATCCGAAAGTTCGGAGAAAAACTTAGATATGATGACACTGTTGAGTTCAAAACATCAAATGTCACTGCCTGAACCATCTGAGTACAGTGCTATTAATGCGTTTTTAATTTTATGTAGGCTAAGGATGGTTACGAGGTTTCGATCTTTGTATAGAATTTAATCAGAAGTGTGTTACTCACCGCATAGAGCTGTTTGAGTTGCTAAAATGCAATCTAAATAGGCTCTTGAGGGAACCGGATTGAGTAACAAAAACGTCGTTCCTCAGAGGCCGTAGTTGACATAGAAGTTTGGACAAATAACTTCACACACATGCAAGATGGAGACTTGAACGGTATGACAAATTGGAATATTACTTGTCAACCAAGGAAAGCTCCTATGGCTTGGATTGAGATCTTAAATGGTCTTGGATGAGTTGGTACATGATGTGACAACTCTAGTTCAGAATATGGCAAAGATATGTGACCGTTTGAAGAGGAGAATCAAAGGAATAATCATCCTAAATCAGATCAAAGCAATTCCCTAATCTATGCGATGCAATGGGGTTTTATTTCCTTATTAATGCTTATGGATATACGCTGCAATATCTCTCCAAGATGTGTAGCCGTTGGGAGACTTATTCTCCTAGCAACATTTCCTTATTTATTGTTTTATTTACTCTCTAACTTATGTATATATTAGTGTAGAAAGTATGAATAAATAATTAAGTTAAAGAGTTGGAAATCAACTCTCTTCTTCTTGAAAGCTCTTCTTCTTCTTCTTGTTTATTTATTTTTATTATCTTTTCTCCATTCTCAAACACAAACACATAGAAAATCTTCAGTAGCTCTATGGACGATATGAATGGCGTAGTGGTTCCTGTCCGAACCAGACATATCTCCAGAGAGCTGGACCTCGGTATGTACGTGAATGATCTCCTCCGTCGTGCCATTTTCGGAGCTCTTCATATCTACCGTAGTCCAGTAGTTAGGACCTATGTACAGATCGAATCTTGGCTTAGTGTCGTGACCGTCGTAGTTTCCGTACAGGAACGCAGCTTTGATCAAATAGTTGGTTCCCCTCGTGACGTTGAGGCCGTAGCAGTTTCTTTCTCCTTGTGGAAAGTACCGCAGAGTTGTGTACGGCTTTATGATGCGTGTCTGGACTTTCCCACTTCTTCCGGTTCCGCTCTGGACGAAACCGGCGTCGGACGAGAAATTTAAACCGGTTATCGGTTCGATGCAGGGAGACTCGTGGGGGATAAACCGCAATCCAAACTGATGAATCCTGCTAACACATATAGTATAATATATGTTAGATATTCACGTGGACTTCCCGTATTTGGCCAAAGGTTCGGGTAACTTTCGAATTATCAAAAAAAAAAAAAATGTTAGGTAGGAAATAAAAATAAAAGTAAATGAATAAAAAGAGATACGAACCGATCTTTCTACATAATTATCTATTATTATTCATAAGAATACTCAAATCTCTATACTTTCTATCCCTTTCACGCTTCTAAATTTCTACTACTATTTATTCATAGACTATCATTTGCAATTAAAAATTACAAACAAAACTGTATACCTTTTGAAAACAACTTTTCGCCAAAAATAACCACTTTTAATTAATTATAATATAAATAATTTCTCGAAAGATGAACAAATATATCTATTTTTTTTTTATTTAGAGGTAACTTTTAGTTTAAATTTAAACAACACCTTGTATATTTATTTTGATTTAAATATAAACAATATTATCTAAAGACATACATTTTCATTTAAATTTAAATGGTGTTGAATGGGACGTGGTTTTCGGAGTTTTTGGATTTTAAAAACCGAAAAAACCAACAATTTTAAGTTTTTTAAATTTTAGTTTTTCTAAAAATCCGGAGAAAAAATCAACTAAAAACCAAAAGTTACAATTTTTTAGATTTACAAACTCATAAAATCTAAAAGCCAAAAATCAAAAACTAAAAACCAAAAACTAAAAACTAAAAACTAAAAACTAAAAACTAAAAACTAAAAACTAAAAACTAAAAACTAAAACCAAAAACCCAAAATAAAAGGCACTAACATTCACAAAAGGTTCACTTATTATGAGTGGTTTTGAGATCTTAAATGGTCTTGGATGAGTTGGTACATGATGTGACAACTCTAGTTCAGAATATGGCAAAGATATGTGACCGTTTGAAGAGGAGAATCAAAGGAATAATCATCCTAAATCAGATCAAAGCAATTCCCTAATCTATGCGATGCAATGGGGTTTTATTTCCTTATTAATGCTTATGGATATACGCTGCAATATCTCTCCAAGATGTGTAGCCGTTGGGAGACTTATTCTCCTAGCAACATTTCCTTATTTATTGTTTTATTTACTCTCTAACTTATGTATATATTAGTGTAGAAAGTATGAATAAATAATTAAGTTAAAGAGTTGGAAATCAACTCTCTTCTTCTTGAAAGCTCTTCTTCTTCTTCTTGTTTATTTATTTTTATTATCTTTTCTCCATTCTCAAACACAAACACATAGAAAATCTTCAGTAGCTCTATGGACGATATGAATGGCGTAGTGGTTCCTGTCCGAACCAGACATATCTCCAGAGAGCTGGACCTCGGTATGTACGTGAATGATCTCCTCCGTCGTGCCATTTTCGGAGCTCTTCATATCTACCGTAGTCCAGTAGTTAGGACCTATGTACAGATCGAATCTTGGCTTAGTGTCGTGACCGTCGTAGTTTCCGTACAGGAACGCAGCTTTGATCAAATAGTTGGTTCCCCTCGTGACGTTGAGGCCGTAGCAGTTTCTTTCTCCTTGTGGAAAGTACCGCAGAGTTGTGTACGGCTTTATGATGCGTGTCTGGACTTTCCCACTTCTTCCGGTTCCGCTCTGGACGAAACCGGCGTCGGACGAGAAATTTAAACCGGTTATCGGTTCGATGCAGGGAGACTCGTGGGGGATAAACCGCAATCCAAACTGATGAATCCTGCTAACACATATAGTATAATATATGTTAGATATTCACGTGGACTTCCCGTATTTGGCCAAAGGTTCGGGTAACTTTCGAATTATCAAAAAAAAAAAAAATGTTAGGTAGGAAATAAAAATAAAAGTAAATGAATAAAAAGAGATACGAACCGATCTTTCTACATAATTATCTATTATTATTCATAAGAATACTCAAATCTCTATACTTTCTATCCCTTTCACGCTTCTAAATTTCTACTACTATTTATTCATAGACTATCATTTGCAATTAAAAATTACAAACAAAACTGTATACCTTTTGAAAACAACTTTTCGCCAAAAATAACCACTTTTAATTAATTATAATATAAATAATTTCTCGAAAGATGAACAAATATATCTATTTTTTTTTTATTTAGAGGTAACTTTTAGTTTAAATTTAAACAACACCTTGTATATTTATTTTGATTTAAATATAAACAATATTATCTAAAGACATACATTTTCATTTAAATTTAAATGGTGTTGAATGGGACGTGGTTTTCGGAGTTTTTGGATTTTAAAAACCGAAAAAACCAACAATTTTAAGTTTTTTAAATTTTAGTTTTTCTAAAAATCCGGAGAAAAAATCAACTAAAAACCAAAAGTTACAATTTTTTAGATTTACAAACTCATAAAATCTAAAAGCCAAAAATCAAAAACTAAAAACCAAAAACTAAAAACTAAAAACTAAAAACTAAAACCAAAAACCCAAAATAAAAGGCACTAACATTCACAAAAGGTTCACTTATTATGAGTGGTTACATATTGCATCCTTTTTTTTTGTTATTTATCACATACTTTTTCATTCAACTAATTATAAATAACGAAACCAATCAAATCACATGTATATTTTACCAATTCATATTGCATGAGTATTTAACTCCTCTACCAAACCTATATACTACGTAAAAATATGATTCTTGTGAGAGTTTTAATCCAATCTATCGATTCATTCTAAAATCATCCAATAACATATACAACGCAGAAAAAAAAAAGATTTCATCTCGGACAAATACTGTCTAACCAATGCATAAGAAAGAATTCGATAGACCAACATATTCAGATGAGAGAAGGCGTCGTCTGATTTCATTATATCAAGTGTTATAATGAATACAAAGGAATTAAATAGATTTTTTTTTTATAATATATGATTGACTCGAACTCTAGGTGTGGCCAGCACTTTGTGTACCACCGCACCACCAGCTCCTCGCACAGGAATTAAATAGATGAAGTATTCAGCCATGAAAAAAGGATCGAGGGAGCACCTTGCTGGCTCTGAGCTTGAACGACGTGCATGGCGATGGCATAGCTCCCCATCAGCAGTGCCACGAAAAGCTCGCGACGGATCTCCATTTCGCAACAAGCGACAGTCCGAGGTCTGAAATTTACAAACATATATAAATAGGAGGAGCAAGAGAATGGATTTTTCAGATCAGCCTTTTGAAGGCGTCAAATGTCAGAAGGAAGAAAAGGACGCGTTCGAATGAATGGATACTGTCTTTTTCCTTTGACTGTAACGAATAAAAATTGGTTTGTGTAACGACCAGACAGCTCACAGAGGGAATTCCTCAAACATGCGATCACGACACTGAACATTCTTTCACGATAAGGTTTCTGCAATAATTTAACCCCAGAAAGATGATTGCAATCTCAGTCTCCGTAGTTTATTCTTCAAAGGACAGGTCAGTCCCAGGAAAATACTGTACACGTGTAGCTTCATACGTATTTCTGCATAATTTCGCACTCTTATATTGTTTATCTGCAATCTATGGAAAACTCTGTATTGTTTATCGTTTTCTTGTTGGACAAGTAACCGCAGCTGATGCAATATATATCTTTACAAACTGATTTTTTTCTTTTAATTTCTCGGTAACTGGTATTCGATTGAAACTTTAGAATTCGATTGAAACTTTAGACAAATTAGAAGCCCTTTCCAGCAACCTTTGTTTTAAAAAAACATTTTAACATTTACGAACGAGCAAAACAGCAACCCGAAAAATAGATTTCGAGGCAAATTCATAAAAAAAAAAAATATTTAAAGATATCCACATATAAAAAAAAAGAATTTATTGAATCGAAACAGTTATACTCCTACTTACGGTGAAAAGAGAAATCGAGGAACAAGAGTTCGTTTCCAAGAATCAAGATTACAAGCATTTGAATCAGAAAGGAAAAAACACAACAAGAAACAGAATCATTTGCTCCGTCTGTACACATAGAAACAAGTTGACTGGCTTGTGACGTGAAACAATATCCAAATGACAACATTTGCAAACGAGATATCTTGCGGATTTCGGGGGACAGATCACCGAGCCGTGGGAGTCGTTTCCGTGTCGATGTTGATGCTCAGTTCGATGGCACTCCCTCTGTTTCCCATGTTTTCAGACAGTGCAAAACACTCTTTCAGTTCGC